CACTGTCCCAGGCTGCTCCCAGCCCCAATGTCCAGCCTGGCCTTGGGCACTCAAAGGGATCCAGGGGCAGCCACAGCTTCTCTGGGCACCCTGTGCCAGGGCTGCCCACCCTACAGGGAACAATTCCTGCCCAAAATCCCATCCATCCCTGCCCTCTGGCACTGGGAGCCATTCCCTGGCTCCTGTCCCTCCATCCCTTGTCCAAATTTGAGGATGAACCATAGCCTGAAGCCAGCCTGGGAGCAAGGCAGCTGAGTGTGCATTTGGAGCCAGTCACAGAGGGCACCTAAACCCAGACTTGAACCACAGGGGTTTCTTCTTTTGGTTCAGGTGCACCAAAAAGTACGGGTTTATTGTGCTTCACAACTCCCAAACTTTGGGGTCAGTGCTTGTGGGGACATTTCCCATTCCAGCCCATGGCTTTGCTTTGCTTCCAGATTAACCCTCATCCAGCTCGTACCAGGTCAGTGAGTTCTCAGAGGCACAAAGCCACATTTTCTTTTCCCAAGAACGTCATTTTCTTTCTTTCCCCAAGGTGTGAACTCCTTCCTGGTGTTCATGGCTTACAAGGACAAGCTGCAGTGCACCGATGGCCAGGTAGGACAGCAGCAGGGAGGGCAGGCACACGCTGAGCCCGAGCAGGGCTGGTGACGGGGCTGACAGCGGGCACTGCTGTGTCTTGGCAGATGTACGAGATCTTCTGCACCCTCCGGGAGCTGGGGGCCATCGCCCAAGTGCACGCGGAGAACGGGGACATCATCGAGGAGGTGCTGTGTGTCACTGAGACCCGGGGTGACCAGGGCATGGGGAGGAGAATCCCTGTCCCATCCCTGTCCCTGCCCTTCCCCTGTCCCATCCCTGTCCCATCCCTGTCCCTGCCCCTGCCACTGCCCTGTCCCTGTCCCTGTCCCTGCCCCTGCCCTGTCGCTGTCCCATCCCTGTCCCTGCCCCTGCCCCTGTTCCTGTCCCTGTCCCATCCCTGTTCCTGTCCCTGTCCCATCCCTGTCCCTGTCCCTGTTCCTGTCCCTGTCCCATCCCTGTCCCTGTCCCTGTCCCTGTCCCTGTCCCTGTCCCTGTCCTGTCCCTGCCCTGTCCCTACCCCTGCAGGGTGTCCCAAAGCCTTGGAGGGAAGGGGCTCGTGGGACCCA